GTCCTTGTGCCTTATTACTCTGTTCACCAGCTCCAATAATTTCTTCAATCATTTCAAGTCTTTTTATTATTGTCTTTATTATTGCCTCTTTTGAATCCTGAATCTCCTGACCTGCATGAGTTTCTAGTAAAGATAGTATGGTTCTTGGGAGTGCCATATTCTTCCTAAATGAAAGAATATGCAAAAGAATACTAAAACCTAGTAGCCAGTAAATTAAGTTATCCTCATAGTCATATAAACCTTGCACGATACGACCCATTGTATTGGTAGCCCAAACAGTTAAATTCATGTTGGAAACGAAAACTGCCATATTACCTATTATCCAGCAGGTGGCGCTGTTTCCAAGTCTCGACAAAAACGGGTTCCTGTTTGAGGGTCTGCCGAAATCTGCCTGCCTCTGCATCCCGAGTGCTGGGATTAAAGGCGTATGCCACCTAAGTCGGCTGGCCTCAGAGATCATCCTGCATCTCTGGATATTATGGGCCTGAAGGCCGAGTGTATCTCGAAGTCCTGCATCTCTGGATATTATGGGCCTGAAGGCCGAGTGTATCTCGAACTCGACACTGGGGCCTAAGTCATGAACTAAACAAAAAACGGCGTACAGGGAACCATAAACCCAGAATCCAGGGGTAGAGAAGAGTAACCAGGAAGCCGTGTATGCCTCCACGTGACAGAGTCACCCTGAGGGGTTGCAGCTTCTGCAACCGGCAACCGCGTGCTCTGGTTCACACCACTTAAGAGCTGTACTTGCAAGGGAGATTTAAAAACGACTCAGAAAAGAGTAAACCACGCAGGCAGAGACTACGCAGGCCTGTGGAGTTTAAATCCATGTGGGGAGGCAGATGATAGGGTGCGTGGGGACTTGAAGTCAATCTGAGGTGCCTAAAAAAATATAAAGAACTGCAGCAAGAAAAGCCAGTGCGTGATAATTTATATTAAACTGCTAGATCCACGCACAAGGCACAGGCTACAAGGCTGCCACAAGGCACAGGCCACCTGGCCGCCGCAAGACACAGGCCACACAGCCGCTGCAATGCACAGGCCACACGGCCGCCGCAAGGCACAGGCCGCGGCTAAGGAAAGGAGGGCTCGTGCCAAGCCGAACTCGAGCGGGGGAAGGAGAGGTCCTAAAAGCCAAACGTTCGGGCGCCAGATGAAGGCGTAAGTCACGAACAAGGCCACACCAGTTTGGAGTCATTATTAATAGGGATTTATTTATTTAAAGGGGAAAAAAACTTACAGATCCCCGTCCCAGACAACAGCCATCTGCACAACCAGGAAGGGAGTCTAGTCTCCGGTGGAGCAGGAAGTGAAGAGAGCGAGCAGAGGAAATAGCCACTTTTTTAAAGGGAAAGAGACCACGCCCAAATGGGCTGGTATCACAGCAGCTATTGGTTGGAGGGGCGGAAGGACCTCCTGCACTAATTGTATTTAATTCTTCTATGTTAGAGTTAAAACCTTTCCTTCTTATTTATTCTAAAAGGGGGAATGTTATGCGATATTCATTTACACTGTGTGAAGATGTGCTGCTGTTATTGGGTTAATTAAAAAATAAATGACCAGTAGCTGGGCAGGAGAATATAGCCAAGATTTCTGGGGAGAGAGGGGACAATGGGAAGAAGAAACATGAAGTCACCAGTCAGATGCAGAGGAAGCAGTATGGGCAGTGTGGAGATGAGGTACTAGAGCTACATGACTGATGGTAGACTTAAAAATATGGGTTAATTTAATTTACGAGAGCTGATTGAAAAATCTAAGCTAAGGGCAAGCTTTGAAGTCATAAAATGTCTCTATGTCATTATTTGAAAACTGCCAATGTAGAGAATAGCTCCTTATAACCCTACTTACATGAGATTGTTCTTCATATGATAGAAGGAGAAAACCATTTCTCAAGATGTTCTTTGTCACTAATGTACTTTTTTTGTTTTCACATTTTATAGATGCACCCTAAAGAAATAAAATGTGACAAAATATCTTTAGAAGTACATAACTACAGAAAAACGATGAAATACTCATCTGTTGGTAGAGGGTAGTAGCTTTATTCATACCTTGTTCCACTGGTCTCCTACGCCAACATATGACTGAGCTACAGAGGCAGCTGGTATATCTGGGGTCCAGACATTAGAACACAAGAGTGAGTTTTTTCACTTGAATGATTCCTCCCAATAGGGTCTCCTTCAGGTATAGTTGCACATATATATCTGTATATCTGTCCTCTTATAAGAACACTGCCATTAGGTCAGAAGAATTGGTTGGATCCTCTTTAACTTTAGTGTTACAGAAGGGAGCAGCCAAGTGGGTGTTGGGAACTGAACTATGTTTTATATAAGAGTGTTTGCCAGAGATCAGCTCCAGCAGGCATCAGGTCTCAAAGAGAAGTTGTGGAGTCAGTGAAGGAAGGATATTGAAATGATCTGAGTGTGAATCAGGATAGCCACTGTTTTATTGAAAATAGAAGCTATATTTTGAATACTCCATAATTACACAAAAGTTTAGCCATAAGCAAGATTGAAAGCAAACTTAATGATTCCCAGATGAAAATAGCCACCAACTTTATCACAGCATTTTTTTTCCAAGGCAAGTGGTGATGATTTCATCAAGAATCTAAATTCCTACCTGGAGTCTGTTGTTTCCCTCTGTGGTGTAGGGTAAAAGGAAAAGCTGGAGCAGGAAACCAATCAATCACTGAGCATCCTGACTCTGAACCCAGAGTCAGTAAAAGAAACACCTTGGATCTGAGACCTGGGCGAGGGAAAGAAATAGTTTTTATCCCTGAACCCAGGACTAAAGAC